GTGTGTGTGTGTGTGTGTGTGTGTGTGTGTGTGTGTGTGTGTGTGTGGTGGGCGGCAGGGGGCGTGTCTGAAGCTAAATTGAATTGAATCTGTTTAATGCAGTCCTGCTGTCTGCTCTCTGATTGGCTGACAGAGGTCACCTGACCCCTGTGGTCACCACAAAGAGCTTTTTGTCCCGAGAGCTGTAACGTACCCTGTTCATTGTCTCTGATGTGCACACGCTCGTGCACAGAGGCGCCTCAGCTCAGATCTGAGTGATCCTGAACACTGATCCATGTTGTTTCCCGTGTTTACGTTCAGGACACAGATTAAAAACATGTTTTATTTAGTAAAGAAACATCAGATTTATTAACTGAAGATGGTGAAATAAAACACTAATAATAATAATTATTATTATTATAAGCAGAAACTGATGTTATGAGGGTTTAATTTGTGTTTGTGTATCAGATGCTGCAGCAGCTACACGCCTTAAACTGTCGAAGCAGCAACATGTTGGTTTTTACTCTTTACTGTCCCGAGGTGTGAATGTTTGTCTCTGTGTCCCTTTGATGGACTGAAAACATGTCCAGGTGTCTCCTGCCTTTGTAGCAGCTGAGATAGACACCAGCTCCCAGCAACCCAGAAAGAAGAGTAGGTTAAAGAAATTGGTGGAAGAAATGGATCTCCTCAGAGTTTCACATCAATCAAATTTATTTATAAATCACTTTTAAGAACAAAATGCTGTGTGCCAAATTGAGTGAAGGTACGATGTGGGTGGAGGTGGGTACTGTGTGGGTGGAGGTGGGTACTGTGTGGGAAGAGGTGGGTAAAGTGTGGGCAGAGGTGGGTATGGTGTGGGCGGAGGTGGGTAAAGTGTGGGCAGAGGTGGGTACTGTGTGGGCGGAGGTGGGTACAGTGTGGGCAGAGGTGGGTACGGTGTGGGCGGAGGTGGGTATGGTGTGGGCGGAGGTGGGTACAGTGTGGGCGGAGGTGGGTACTGTGTGGGCGGAGCTGGGTACTGTGTGGGCAGTCGTGGGTACTGTGTGGGCGGTCGTGGGTACTGTGTGGGCAGAGGTAGGTACAGAGTGTGTGGGCGTGGGTACGGTGTGGGTGGAGGTGGACAATATAATGTGCTCAGCCTTGAACACTGGTGTTTGATCTAAATGTGTCCACATTTAACGCGGCTGTGTTCAGGTCACAAACAGAACCGAGTTAGCCTGAAGCTGAACCTCCAGAGACGTGACGGAGCTGATGGTTCTGAACCGGCAGGGTTGGGTTCTCTGCAGGTCTCACAGTGTTCCACTGTCCCTCAGGATAAATCTGGCTCCCACGGTGGGCTACGAGGACGACGCCGGCAGCCGGACCACGCATCACTTCATGTACCCGGAAAGCGCCAAAAACCTGGCCCCCAACGTCAGCTTCGTCCTGGTTCCCTTCAAAACTCTGGACCTGGTCTGGATCACCAGCGCACTGTCCACAGGCCAGATTCGATTGTAAGACACACAGATGTTATTGTTCATGTCACTCAGTACGTTTACCATTAATGATTACCGGAGAATTACCGGAGAGAGGCCGAGAGATCAGAGCAATCTGTCCATCATCCTGCAGTCAGAAGGCTGATTGACAGGGTCTCATATGGTTCTGTCTTTCAGCACCTACGCTCCGGTGAAGCAGTTCCTCCGAGTAGACAAAGAGAAGGTGAGACTCAGTTGTCTCTCTCGCTCTCGCTCTCTCTCTCTCTCACACACACACACACACACGCACACACACGCACACACACACACACACACACACACACACACACACACACTGAGGGATTATAAACTCTCTTTGTTGTCTCTAATCTGCTGCTCGCTCTTAATCTATGATTAGGAAATAGACTAATCCTCTTGAAGATGGTCTGAACATCTTCACCTGCTCAGAGATCTAGTCTTTGGTTCTGATCCATAATTATAGACAGAGACAGTTTTAGTCCTGGATCGTCTCAGCGGTCATGGACATGTCTTCGGACAGATGAGACAGTTCAAGACAAACAAGATGTAACAGATGTGTTAAATGTTTTCAACAAAGACTCTGAGAACCTTTCAAGACAAATCTCAAATGTGTTTCCAACTATTCTCCAGTTTGTCTCCAACTAGTCTCTAGATTGTCTCAAGTTTGTTTCTGGTCTAAAGTTTGTCTCCAACTGTTTTCCAGTTTGTCTCCAACTTGTCTCCAGATGTTCACCAGTTTGTCTCCAATTGGTCTCAAGTTTATCTCCAACTGGTCTCAAGTTTGTCTCCATCTAGTCTCCAGTTTGTCTCCAACTAGTCTCCAGCTATTCACTTTGTCTCCAACTTGTCTGTTTTGTCTCCAAATGGTCTCCAGTTCGTTTCTGACAATCCCAGCCCATTGAGAGACCAGTTAGAACCTGTTGTGACTGAGGGTCACCAGGCAACAGAGGACATTTGACTTTTTGTTTTATTTCGAATGCCTTGGGTTTTAATTTTTAGATCCAAACTGTGAGAAGCATCAAACTGTTTCTTTTACTTTTTTAATTTGAATTCCTTGAATTGTTCTAATAAAACTGAATTAAGATCAATTTTAAAACTTTTATTAAAGCAGAAACCCAGAGGGACGTCTTTTCATTCTTCAGTTCTGTGAAAACTTGATGGAGAATAATGGATCTCATGAGTCCTGCTTCTGGTCTGTGGTGGACTTGTTTTGGTTTTCTGAAGACTTTTGGATCCAGAGTTTTTTGGTTTCCTCAGGTGTTCAGAGATGCATCAGGTCCAGTTTTCAGTTCTTTGGGAATCTATAATGTTGTTTTCTGTCAAACTGTGGAGAGAAACCAGCCAAAGTCCACACAAATACTGGAGTCTGTAGAACTGTTGACCTGGACCTCTTTAACTGAGTCCATGACCGTCTGAATGATTAGGAGGAGAAACTAAAGGGATTAAAACTTTCACCCAGATTACTGATGACCTGGTCTTCCTCTGTCCTCCGTTCAGGTCCAGATCTTCAATCCTGCCTTCTTCAAATACATCCACGACCGTTGGACCAAACACCACGGGCGGTACCCCTCCACTGGCATGTTGGTTCTGTTCTTCGCTCTGCACATCTGCGACGAGGTCGGTCCTTCTGGAACAAAGTTTTTGTTTGCGTTTTTGGACAGAGTTTCGGTCTGATCCTTCCGTCTCCGCTCCCGCAGGTCAACGTGTTTGGTTTTGGGGCTGACAGCCGAGGAAACTGGCACCACTACTGGGAGCAGAACCGCTACTCTGGAGAATTCAGGAAGACCGGGGTCCACGACGCTGACTACGAAGCCCAGATCATCCAGCAGCTGGCCAAGGCCGCAAAGATCACAGTGTTCCCTGGAAAATGATCCAGATCCAGAGGGGTCTGAAGTGTGAGGAGCGGAGCAGAAATAGACTCTTAGATGTTCTTCAGTTTTTCTGTTTCAGGTTGAATCAGAGCTTCAGTGAGAGACAAAACCTCCACAGCCAGGACTCATCATGGTGTAAAGTCCATCTGTGAGCTGGACCCCCACCCAGCCCCTCCACCAGCTCTGGACTCTGTCCAGTAGAAACATTTGAGGATGATTTCAAAAACACAAAATACCGGAAAGTTCACGTCTGCATCTCAGCTGCTGTTTGAAGGAGATCCAGGCTCTGGTCTGTGTGGGAACATTTCTTTATCCAGTTCGTTTAGAACACCTCTGATCCACGTGAGAACATCTCTGATCCACATGAGAACACCTCTGATCCACGTGAGAACATCTCTGATCCACGTGAGAACATCTCTGAACTACGTGAGAACATCTCTGAACCACGTGAGAACATCTCTTATCCACATGAGAACATCTCTGAACCACGTGAGAACATTCTGATCCACGTGAGATCATCACTGAACTACGTGAGAACATCACTGAACCACATGAGAACATCTTTGAACTATATGAGAAAATCTCTGATCCACGTGAGAACATCTCTGATCCATGTGAGAACATCTTTGAACCATGGGAGAACATCTTTGAACTATGTGAGAACATCTTTGAACTATGTGAGAACATCTCTGATCCACGTGGAACATCACTGAACCATGGGAGAACATCTCTGATCCACTTGAGAACATCTCTGGTCCACGTCAGAACATCACCAAACCACGTGAGAAGAGCATTACTGAACCACGTGGGAACATTGCAGAACCCAGGTCCTGGGTCCCGTCTTCAGTTTGCTCCACAGACATCTTCTTCTGTTCGGTCTTCAGTTGACTGACTGCTCAGATGAGACCTGTGGGTTTATCAGACCTGTCACGTGGAGTCCCGCCTCCAGGGTCCATTCAGTCAGCAGCAGATCCACAGAATGAGAACTACTGACTCACCTCAGCTTTTAATCGCCATGACAACCGTCAGCCTGCTGCTGTCCTCATCCACATCCATAAATGGATGATGAAGAGGATGAGGATGGAGGCTGCGTGCTGGCTGGGTTCTAAAAGGTTCTGACCCAGATTAAAGCCCCATGACATGGTGGAATATGTAAAATCGCCTTCATTAACCGCTCGCCCTGTTCCTGCTCGGCCAATCAAAACCTCAGCTCAGCCTGGAGGCGGAGCCACGCAGCTTAGCCCCACCCCTTCAGTGTGTACAGCCTGGCTTTGGGTTCTGGTGCTGTTCTGGTTCCTGTCATCGGACAGGAAACCTGAAGGAAAACGTTTGGTTTGAGCCGCAGCTAAAACTAATTAAAATAATCGTTACTTCAGACACAAACCTTTAGTTCCTGGTTTTAATTATTTATGATAAAAACTTTCTCAAAGGTCAGACAGAAGTTGTGAGTTTATTTTTTAAATAAAATCCTGCAGCACTAAAATGGATCAGCTTTTATATTTAACGTTGGTAAAAGATGACCCACCTCGTCAGTTTAGCAGAGTGAGCTGTAGCAGCTGAGATCGTCCCAGCATGCTCTCTGAGGGCTGACGGGTCAGGTGAGGCAGCGGGTGATACGTTAACCTTTGAGAACTCAGGTGGGTTTAATGACAGAACCGGACTCGGCGGGGTTCTGGTGGGGAACCTGGATGTTTCAGTTTGTGGCTTCAAACCAAACACCTGAAGTGATGTGATACGTTTCCTGCAGCACCAGAACAACTAGAACCAGCCGAGGGTGTGAGGATTAACACACACACACACGTGCGCACACACGTGCACACACACAGTGATGGTCGGGCTGTTTCCTGAGGTCTGAACGTTCGATGCAGCTGAATGTGAACGGACCGTTTGTGTTTTCTGTCTCCTGCTTCTGTGCCTTGTCCTGCTGCTGGACGCCTCCTGCTACATCAGCAACACACACACACACACACACACACCTGCCTCCTCTGCCGTTTCCCATCACACACTCGTGGCTGAGAGCTGTGCCTTCTGCTCGCTCCTCTCAGTCCAAAAAGAGAGACGATGTAAACTCACGATGCTGTGCAGAAGTCCTGATCCAGAGCTTCATGTGGTCTGTGGTTCTGGATCCAGTTCTGCAGACTCTCTGAAGATCTTTCAGATTTCCTCTTGGTTTTGGTCCCTCCCAAGGATCGTCATAAAACTCAACCAGGTTCAGGTCTGAATAATATTTTTCCATCAGAGGACCAGAACCTGAAGGTTCTGTCTTTCAGGACCTGATGAGATCCATTTCCAGCTCAGCTGCAGTTCTGTCCTCTGCTGGTCATCAGAGGTCAAAGGTCAACACATTCCTATGAAAATGCACACTGTAGAACTGCTGATCCAGAACCTCTGCACAGGAAGGTCCGGGTCAGAGGACGTAGAACTGAGGACAGGATCAGGACTTGCCTCAGGTCATCAGTGAGGTGTGGGCCGGTTTGTTTCATTTCTCTGTAGACGTTTTAAAAACATCTGCTTGGACTGAAAGCTTTTAATCGTTTTGTTCTGGAGCCAAGCGTCTTCATGCAGACGGTGAGAACCAGAGCAAATGGTTCTGATTATTCTAGACCAGAACACAGACCGGATCCTCCAGCGGGTCGTGGACCTCCTGAAGATGTGCAGATCCCTGCTGAGTTTATTTCATCAGATCTTTCAGCGACGCGTCGGTTCCTTTAGTCATTTTAGGGCCGCGTGTCGACGTCGCCTGGAGGAGCCTGGGGCTTTAAACCAACAGGAAGTGCCAGATTAAGAGTTTTAATCCGAGCTCGTTATAAAAAGAGGAAGACTTCACGTTTTGTTTTCCATCAAATCTGGAGCAAACTTAGCAAGTTTAGGTTCTTTGTTTCTGCAGGAGACGCAGAAGAGAATCCTTCAACAAAAACAAGTTTTGATCTGAACGTTCAGCCCAAACTGAGCCTTTCTGACAGGAAGTACATTCAGTTCTTTCATAATAAAGTATTAAGTGAGGAAAAAAAATACTTTGAATCATGAGAAACTCCCCACATCGGGTCAGAACCGAGCCGTTTAGTGATGTAACAGCTGACAGGTAGTTTATTAGAGCTGTAGTGAGTTTTTAACGTCTGGTTCTGGGGGGAGCAGAACTTCTGTGTTTGACGCTGCTGTTCAAATTAAAGCTCATCAAACTCCTTTTGGACCTGATGTGTTTTATTGTATTAACAGGACGTTTTCAGAAGAACCTGAGCTTATTCAGAACAAAACGGATCTTCAGGTGAGCTTCACGGCTGGAGTTCATCTGCAATGATTTTTAAATTTTCAGGTCTTTCCTTCAGTTTTGTTCATTAAATGAGAACAAGTCAGTAAAATCCTTCAGCTCAGAAATGAGCTCTCCTGCAGCTGCAGACGAGTTCAGATCAATTTTCATCTTTCACATTCATCCGAACACTTCTGGTTCCACAACATTTTAAACATGAAGATCCAAACGTCCACCTGAAACTGATTCAGATGTTCAGGAACTGAACTGGAACACCACTGTCCCTGTCCACAGTGGAGACGGTTCACGGACTGACAGAAGGTCCAAAACCTTCAAGTTGGACCAAAACCAAAAGTCTGATGGTCAGACGAGACAAAGGTTGAGACAAGGAGGACAGTTGGACGAGTCGAGGTGAGACTTTCTGATCTGAGAACACTTAACCAATTGTCAGGCATGGAGGTGGGAGCATCATGCTGTGGTCCAAAAAGAGAACTTCCTCCAAACTCCCCAGTTCAGCACAGAACTGGTTTCTGATGGGACAAATCAGGCTAACGTTTAGCTTCTGAAAAGGTCATCCTGAACTCGACTGGTAATTTGTGGACTCAGATTAAAGCCGGGTCAGAACAGGAAACCAACCAATTTAACTGAACTGGACCAACTCCGTCAGAAAGACGAGCGGCCTGATACCATCCAGAACCTTGTTGATGGAGACAAACAGGAGACACCTGCTGAGGGACACTTACCTGGACGTTAGTGGGGTGTATGTATATATGTGACCCCGAGTGAACGAGAGGAAGAAGAAGCGGTGAATCACTGTTCTGATGAATGAACGTGACGAGCGGTGGACACGTGTGGATGAACAAACGTCAGATTAAACAGAGTGTCGTTGATCAGGTTTATTCGTGGAGTTTAACGTCTTGCAGCTACGACCATCACAACTGTTTAAAATCAACGTCAGAACAGGAAGAGACGCACGTTCCTTATCATTTTACACCGTCTCAGCTCCGCTACAAACCGGTGTCCATCACACAGGAAACAGATTAGGCTGGAGCCTTAAAGTGCCTCGGGGGTGGGGGGTGAACTGGGCCACAGGCCGGGGGCCATGTTTGTTTGTGAGGATGAATTGGAGGCGTTATTTACAGAGAGGCTGAAGCAAACGTCCTTTTCTCTGGTCATGCAGGGACGCATCTATTGTCCTCTCAGGTCAAAGTGCATGAAACTCAAGCTCCGCCCTGACTGATGACAGGAAGTCAGGTGACTCAGGTCTAAAATAAATACGAGTGGCTCATTTCCTGCTGCCTGCTGCTCGTCGGACCTTCGGGACGAAGAAAAGACGATTTGTTTTTCTCGTCTCCTCTCAGTTTTCTCCCAGTTTGAGCCGAGCGAACTCGTTGGCCATCTGCAGCGCCTCCTGCAGGCACAGCGTGTTCCTGCCCGTGGCCTGGGCAGACATGTCCTTACCGCCTCCTTTCCCGTCCAGCAGGGGACACAGCTCCTGGACCCACTCGCTGGCCTTCAGGCCGCGGCTCGCCACTTCCTGCAGAGAAGAAGAAGAAGAGTTGACATTGGCTCTGTGGAGGATGTGGTGCTCTCACATCAGTCCTGATTAAAGACCCTCAGCTCCACAGCTTTTCCTTCCAGTGATCCAGACTTCCTGTGATCCTTCAGTGGTCTGGATCAGCAGTTCTCCAGGTGTCCTCAAGAACTGTTTTGGACTTTGGCAGCTTCTTTAGTCCTTTCAGTAGAATGTTTGTTTATTCAGCATCTGAAGTGAGGAATTATCCTTAAACTCAAGAGACCAAAGACCTTCAGAACGTCTGGATCACTAGAAGGACATTCTAAAGGGACGAGGACCGGATCAAGAGCTTCAGAGAAGGTTTAGTGTCTGAGGTCTCACCTGTGGGACTTGGCACAGGCAGGTGATCTTTCCGGCCTCGGGGTCGATGGTGAACAGCATGGTGGCGGTCTGAGGGGACTGGGACTTCAGCAGCTTCAGGGACTCGTTCAGAGCCTGAGGGACAGGAACAGGAAACGGTGAAGTGTTTGAAATCAGATGTCTCGAGGACACGAACTACAGAACTGATCTGGTCTCAAGTGTTCAACACTGCAGAGAGACAGGCTGGTCAGAAGCTGAACAGAACTTCTGATAAAATACAAGTTTTAATTTGAATCATGTATCGACAGAAGTCATCCAAAGGGACGTATAATCTGCCCGTACAGGCTCGCAGATTATAATCTGGGAGTCCATGTATTTTATTATTTTGTCACAGAATGTTCAGCTAAGCTCACCCACAACCCTAGTTTCTACTGTATAATACTTTCACAATAAGAGACCAAGGCAGACACAGAAGCTGGGGATGCTCCGAGCCGTTTGTTATTAAAGGAGAGGGGGGGGGATTTCTACAACCAGGTGAAAAACAACAAGAGACAGATGTGTTGGTCCGTTAACTCCAGATGTGTCCATTTAACTTTAGAAATTTTATAGTCAACAGTGCACCATGAAAAATTGAATGAAATTTTGTTTCATTTCTCCACAGCAGAGTAGGAATACATAATTTACATTAATTTTATAGACTTTGATGTTTAGCGCAGAAGATGCAATTCTGGTGCAGATACAAGGAATGTGCGAATGTTCCTATATATACACACCTAGACATGATACATTTATACAAGCATGTACACATATTTACATATATATTTACACACACACACACACACACACACACACACACATATTTGGGTATGGTGTTTACTGAGGTACATTTATGGCTGTGAACACTTGATTCAATAATATTTTAGCGAGCACGACACAAAAAGAAGCTAATATTAAGCTAATATTAATACCATACATGCAGCCGTATGCATTGCTTTGCCGTATAAGTCGCATCTATTATGCTTCACCGCTGACCACCCGGAAAAATCGACCAAAAATCGATCGACTGCCAAATGGCGGCCGCAGGAGCGTGCGCGGGACGACTTAAACAAGAATTTAACAAGATTAACACTTAAAAGAATTGTTTGCTCAACAGTAAAGGTGTCTCATTTGAACTTTTCCTTAATAAATGCACTTGAATAGTCAAATCAGCTGCATTTCTCCTGGGCAGTGCAGTGAAATGCAGCTGATTTGACGTTTGCTCCACGAGTTCCAGAGCGAGACGAAGGTGGCTCTTCGTATGGCAAGCCAAGTGTCTCATTAATAGCCACTTTTCCCTGTTAATGAGACACTTGGCTTGCCATATTAGTCGAGGGCTCTCTAGTGGCTGAACATGGTAGTGTTCAATATTTTCCATGTCAGAATGAATGAAATTGTCAGATCTCAGCCAAAAATTGGTTTATAAATACGGGAAATAAATACGTCGCTTCGCTGTAAAAGTTGCAGGCATGCTAATTTATGCAAAAAACTTAGACTTATACAGCGAAAATTGCGATACCTGTGAAATACTTATTTATACTAATACGTCCTACTTGCACATTTATATTCTACCATGTTGTTGCTTACTATATTTCTTTTGGTCCTTGTAAATAGTATCTGAAAAACTGTCCACTTTGATTTCTTTAAAGGGATTTTAAACATTTGATAAGGTCAATAGACAAATCAAAGCAAATGTGTTCTTGTTTTGTAGTATTTGACCTTGTTTTATAAGGCACCTTGATTTTATTGTTTTATAACACTACGTTTTATTATTTTAATTGCATTTTATTGTTCGTTATTTACTTTAGTTTTTTTTATTTTTTTTTTATTGACTGAATTGTTGTACTTTATATGTTGTCTGACTAAAACAGGTCTCTTGTAAAGAAGTCCTCATGACTCAGTGAGACTAACTTGAATAAACAAAGGTTGAATGAATGATGGCTCGTGGGATGAAACTGCTGCAGAACCTGGTGGTTCTGGTCCTCAGGCTGCGGTACCTCCTGCCAGAGGTCAACAGAGTAAACAAACACATTTGAGCTCTTAACTCCAGCTAATGTTGAACTCCGGCGAGTCTGGTGCAGCACAGCTAGTTTTGATTAAAGACTCGCTCCTGGTGGCGGGACAGTTAGAACCTGAGAGGTTCTGGATGTTTGTGAGAATAAGTTCAAAACAAACCAGGAGCATTTGTGCCGTTGAGACTCTGACCTTTGCTGAGGCTCCGGTCTCCATCGCCATGACGAGCAGCGGCTGGTTGGGGTTGTTCTCGATCACCTCTTTCGTCTTCTCCAAAACCCTCTTCTGAATGTCGGCCTTGTAGCTGCGGTCCAGGTCGTCCATGGTCTTCTTCAGACCCTTCAGGGTGTCCCTCATCTCGTCCTTCTGCCACTGAGAGATCACGGCGGTGCCCAGCGACTGCAGAGAACAGAAACGGGTTCAGATCTGGGCTCGGAGCGGCTCTGGAAGTCCTGCAGCTGTGGGACGGCGTTTACCTCGGTCAGGTCTGCGATCTCCTTCTGCAGGTCTTTGTTCGGAACCGTCTGCTGCTTCACCTTGTCTCCCAGAGCGGACAGAGCCTGGAGCAGGGCGTCGGCTTTCCTCTGGGCCTGGAGTTCAAACACAGGAGGACGATGAGGATCCAACAGAAGCTTTTAACTTCAGGCCAGTCATGTGTTCAACTCATGGCAACATTTGAACCCAACATCCTGCAGTTATCGACTGACAAGAATCCGTCCCGTGTGTTTTCTGACCTTCTGGGCTTCTGCTCCCGTCACGGCCACGATGCGGCGGATGCCCTTAGCGATGGCCTCCTCCGAGACGATGACGAACGGCGCGGCGTGACTCGAGTTCTGCAGATGGCTGCAGATAAAGGACAGCAGCACGTTAGTAACAACCGGAGGAGATGAACCCGGAGCAGAGAGGAGGAACCAGAACCGTTTAAAGCAGCTGCTGCAGGTTTCAGTGATCACTTCAGACACAAAATCACCAACATTTCTGAAGAGAAGCTTCGTACAAAAAGTTACAAACATTCTGTTTTAAACAGTTCTGAATGAGACGGGTCGACTGGGCCAGAGCTCAAGGTAAACGCGTGTTTTTTTTAATAAACTGCAGCGTTGTGGGTTCAGAAAAGTTGGACAGATTTTAAATTTCTGGGATAAAAACAAACAAAACTGTTCAATCACCAACTTTCCCTCCGTGCAGCTAAAGACAAGCAGATAATTTAACTCAACTAACTTAACTTTAATTTAACTCTGCAACAAAACAAAACAAGCAGAAATAATGAATGAGTAAAAAATAAACTTGTGGTTAAATCATAAAAACACGAAGAGCGCCCCCTGCTGGTCATAAATTGATTCTTTCTCAGATGAAGGTGAATAAAGAGTTTTGTGGACCTTTGAGTCTGTACTCACGTTCCACCACAGAACTCGATGGAGGTCTGGGACCCTGCAGGACTATTGGGGTCGTCCAGCAGCTCCTGGACCGGGATCCCGATGGAAACCACCCGGACCGGGTCGGGGTAGGTCTCGTCGAACACGGCTCGCAGACCCTGGATGGCCTTGGCCTCTGCTAGAGGAGCATCCATGGCGTACACCGGCTGGAAGGTTGGGGATCATCACATGAAAATGTCAAAACAACTAATTAATTTGTTCATTTCAAAGGTTCCTGAAGTTCTACTGAAGGAGATCAAAGATTTAATAACCGCTCAGGCGTAAAAGTTCTGATCCAGTCCTCAGTTCTTAAGATGTAGTGCAATTTCTAAAACACAGACTTCCTTATAAAACCAAACAAATATTAAAACAGAGAAAATAAACTCAAGTAAAAAGGAGCTTCAGAAAGTTTGCTGACCCGGATCCCTGAAGGAGAACTTAAAGAACGGTGGAGGTTCTAATCAGAACATGGTGGTTCTAAGAGTAAGAAGGTATCTCTTCTGGTTCCGTCTCTGACCTTTGCGTCTCTGATCAGGGCGCCGGCGATCTCCTCGGTCCGACGGACCTCGCCCGTGCTCAGAGCACCTTTAGCTGTGAAGTCGAAGCGCAGACGATCGGGGGCGACCAGGGACCCTCTCTGATCCGCCTCCCCCAGAACCCCCCGCAGGGCGAAGTTCAGGATGTGCGTGGCCGTGTGGTTGCTCATGATGGGCCGCCGGCGCGCCTGGAGGAACATTTGAGGATTTTAGAGACGGTAAAGAGTGTGAGCATGTCTAAAGGACGTGGGAGGAGGGCTCTGACCTCGTCTACTTGCAGAGTCACTCGGTCTCCAACCCTCAGAGCTCCATAAACGGTCCCGATGTGGAGAACGTAACCGCCACGGACCTGCGTGTTCTTCACCGTGAACTCCATCCGCTGAGAAAAGAGCAAAAACCACCGAACGGCAGAAACTCGTTTGTTAAACAGATTCAAGGCTGGAGATCTGAGAACAAACCGTGATGAAATGAAAGAGTTCAACAGTGAAACTGAAAGTTTCAGAGCAGTCCGGCTGTTACGGTTTGGTTCAGAGTTCAATCCTTCAGCTCCTTCAGGATCAATCTACCTCCTTTACTTTTTAAAACTTAATTAAAAATAAAACCCCACAGAAAAAGTCAGATCTCTTCAAAAACATTTTTCTCGTTCAGTTCTGCTTTAGCTACTGGCTCTGGATCTGTCTTTTAGTTCTACTTGCTGTTCTGCTCATTTTGGCTCCTGCTCTGCTCCTTTTAGCTGCTGTTCTGATTGTTTCGGCTCCTGTCTTGCTTGTTTTGGCTACTGTCCTGCTCCTTTAAGCTCCTGTCCTGGTTGTTTCAACTCCTCTTGGCTCCTGCTGTGCTAGTTTTGGCTCCTGTCCTGCTTCTTTTAGCTGTTTATCTGTTTGTCTTTGCTCCTTTTAGCTGCTTCTCTGCTTCTTTTGGCTCCTGTCCTTCTCGTTTCAGCTCCTGTCCTGCTTCTTTTAGCTGCTTCTCTGCTTGTTTCAGCTCCTGTCCTTCTCATTTCAGCTCCTGTCCTGCTCCTTTTAGCTGCTTCTCTGCTTGTTTCAGCTCCTCTTCTGCCTCTTTTGGCTCCTGTCCTGCTCGTTTCTGCTCCTTTTAGCTGCTTCTCTTGGTTCCTGTCCTGCTCCTTTTATCTTCTGCTGTTAGTTTTAAGTTTATCAGCTCTGTTTTGTCCCTAAAACCTTTTAGCTGGTTTTATTAATTTGCCGGTCAGAGTTGAGACGTTCGTCCTCTCAGCTCAAACAGTCCGTTCTCACTTCATGTTGCTTTATTTTGAATTAAATCAGTTTTTTCTGGATCTGCGTCCTGTGGTCTTTTGGTCCCGGTGGTGGATTTTGTCCTTACGTCCTCCGTGTTGTCGTCCTCGCGCAGAATGTAGCCCTCGTCAAACGTCTGTCCTCCCTGCTCGGCGTAGAACGACGTCTGGTCAAGCAGCACGCCGCACTCCTGACCCGTGGTGACCTCGTCGCAGAAGGCGCGGTCGCGGCGCAGAGCCAGGACCGTGGCCGAGGTCTGCTGGAACTCTGAACAGAGAGGGTGAACGTGTAAACGCCGCGGAAGGAACCAGAGCTGGTAGGCGGCCGTCAAAGACACCCACCGTAGTTCCCGTTCTCGTCCGACGAGTATCTGTATTTGGGAGAGTCGTCTGTGGCAGGAACCTGCTTGTTCCTCAGCTCCTCGATGGCGTAGATGTCCAGCATGATGTGGTCGGCGTCTCCGGCACCTTTACCCTGAGACTTCAGCTAAAACACAAACAAACTCCGTCACTTTACTTTGAATTCAATTTTAGTCAAAGAATCGGACTGAAAGTGTAGTTTAAAATTCAAAACAGCCGACTCGTTCAAGTTCAGGTGTTAAAGTCCTCTGCAGCAGAAGATGCAACGTCTGTCAGCATCGTGATATAAACGACATCAGAGGAAAGACGTTTTGAGCCCACAGCCTCCTGCTGGGACCTGAGACAATAAAACGAGCCGAAAGGACGGAGGCAGAAGCTGCAAGAAGTCCAGGTGGTTTGAGTCTCACCTGCGCAGCTTTCTTCTCCTCCTCGAAGGCGGCCACGTCCACCCCCAGGCCCTTCTCCTCAGCGATGAGCGAGGTCAGGTCCAGAGGGAAGCCGTACGTGTCGTACAGCAGCCAGGCCGTGTCGCCTGGAAAACAGCCCCAACAAACAAACAAGCTCAGACAGGAGGACGAAAACATCTGGACTGCACGGACAAACCAGATTTATTTACGTCAGGAGGATAAAGACACCAGAGACTTCGTACAACGGAAAACAAACGTCTTGAAACATCGCCAACATCAGCAGCTTTAAGGACGGACGATTAAGATTTTATTTCATTTATTATCATGAGTTAAAACAAAAACATAAGTAATATCTGAATGAGTGAGCAGCGTGACCCGATCCAGACAAGTAGTTCATCTCTGAGAGACGTCACCGACACTGAAAACAGAAAACCTGCAGTGTTCTTTTGTTCCAGTTTAAACTACAGTTAAACTACTGGTTTGGTGTAGTTTGACAGCCAAGAACAGAATAATCTGAACTTAATCCCAACGATTAAAGGCTCCTCTGCTTTCTTTTGAGGTATTTTGAATTAAAACTGGACATAAATTCATCCTGCAGAGCCGAGTGTTGTTAAAACATCATTCTGCAGGAGCAACGAGCTTCACACAGAAACAAACTCCCAGTGACGCAGGAGGTTCTGGTTCCGTGTCTCACCTGGGATGGTCCTGCAGTCTCCCAGGCTCACGATCTTCCTGTCGAGGATGCGGCGCCCCCTGCTGAGGGTCTTGAGGAACTGCGCCTCCTCGTCGTTGATGATGTCCTTCACCATGTCGGGGTCCTTCTTTAACTCGGGGAAGGCCTCGCCCTGCAGAACCAGATCCAAACTGTCAGACATCACTCACAAACAAAGGAGGAAGAGGAAGGTTAAAGACCGAGGACTCAGAGCTAAAGGTTTCTACAGAAAAGTTTTTAATCTCCTGAATGCAACAGCTACCAAACCCGCCTGTGAGTCCTGGAGAAGCTGTTTGTTTTTGATTTTGGGTGTTGCTCTAATGAAAAGGCCACAGAAGCTCTCACCAGTGAATCGACCACGACGTCCACAAGAGACGCGAAGAAACCGCGCTTAGCTCCAAGTTTCTCATGTGAATAACGGACCGCACGACGAAGAATCCTCCTCAACACGTAGCTGAAAGCAGAAACCATCACAGCTAAAACCCACAGACTCGTGAACAGCGGAGGTCGGTGGAGCATCATTTACGGAGCCACTCCCACCCTCTTCCTGTGTTGTCGGGCCGGCCGCCATCTGACAGGGCGATGGTGATGGTGCGGGCGTGGTCAGCGAGGACACGGTACGCCATGTCGATCCCGTCTACATCATCGGCCCCGACTTTACCAGTGTAAGACCGAGCCCCCGTACCCTGAAACAAACATGATTAAACCGCACATGAAAGCTGCGACACGGTTTACTGGTCCACTCCTGATCCAGATGGTTCTGGTGTTTTCATCAGAAGTTCTCCGGACTCCGTGATAAAACGAACCACCAGCCTCAGTGAGCTCTTTTAATACAAAACATCTGGAACTATGCGTCTCCTCGTACGTTCACGGTTCTCCTAACATCAATCGGGGTTCAGTACCTTCTGAATGGCCTCAAAATAAGGCTGGAAGAGGTCGGTGTCATAGTTGGACATCTTGTTCTGGAGGATGGACACCAGGCGCTCCAGACCCATCCCCGTGTCGATGCTCTTCTTGGGCAGCGGCTTCAGCTCCGTCTCGGACTCTCTGAGCAGGAAGTTAGCACATTTAGAAACTGCTGGATAAAGTGATGAGCGGGCCTTCCTGTCCTTGGGTTACCTGTTGAACTGGATGAAGACCAGGTTCCAGATCTCCAGCACGTTGGGGTCGTCCATGTTTACCAGGTGAGAGGCGTCTCTCCCTCCGATCCGGTCGTAATGGATCTCACTGCAGGGACCGCAGGGGCCAGTGTCGCCCATCTCCCAGAAGTTATCCTTCATGCTCCCCGGCAGGACCCGGACCTCCTCCACCCTGAGCAGAACACAGACAGGACTTTATCTACAGGTGATGCGTCCAAGGTGCACATGGGAGAAAAATAAAACATTCTTTAATGTTTGTTTTCCTTTAAACGGTTCTGAGTTTCAGGAGCTGCTGCTGCTCTGGAGCTCTCAGGTGTGTGTTAACACAACACCACGACGGAAATACATCAGCAATGACCTCAGAGAAGCAGCTGTTATTGCCCATGAACCTGGGAAGGGTCAACGGTCATAAAAACTTGTTTTTATTTTGATTGTGAATGCATGCTGTGCACGTCGGCAGAAAACAAACAGGAAGTAGAACAAAGAATGAATCAACGTGGAGCCGAACGAAACCCTGAAACAACAAAAACACGTTTCTCATTCAGACGGCAGAACTCAAAAAAGATGGCGTCCACCCATCCATCATCTTCCGCTCGTTCCAAAGTCGGGTCGTGGGGGCAGCAGCTTGAGAAAGGAGGCCCAGACATCTCTTTCCACAAAGATGGCGTGATGAATTAAATCTCTGAGCTGACACACCGCTGAGTCCATACTTAGTCCCAAAGAAGTGCCGAAAGCTGCAGGTAAGCAGCAAATTTTAGTTTGTGGACATTTACAAACTACCCTGGACTTTAAACACACCGCCTCTGAAAGCAGACAAGTCGGTTCAAGTTCTGCTCAGGATCCAGTTTTACGAGTCAAAGAATTCGTCTGTGTCTTCAAAAGAAGGATACGTGTGTCATCGGCAGCTGTAAAGACGGTGGAGTTCTTTGTGGAGGAGTTTTCCCCAGTGAAGCTGCTTCAAGACACACTCCGGTTCAGGTGAGGAGGGGGGGCAGAGATGAGCTCCTTAACAGGTGTAAAAGGTAACCAGAACTGTAAAACAACCTTCAGTCTGACAGGCTGACTCCTGAGTTCGTTCCAAGCCTTCGTGTACACTCTCGTGCACAATAACTTGAATTCAATTGTCTGTTTTTAATACATTTCACGCTCTGCTTCAACGGCACAGCGTGTGATTGTGACGTCCCGCTGCGATGAGTCCAACACAGACGAGTTTTGACACATTGACATTATTTAAGACAGCTGCTGATCTTGTCGGGAGTGGACGTCCTCACAGGTTCAACCCGAAGGTCATAAAAAAACAAAAACATCAAGGTCAAAGAAGTGAAGCAATGTTGGAAAGAAGAATGGCTAAAATTGCTCCTTTTGTTTCTGGTGAATGTAAAATGCATGAGTAAAGTTTGCAGCGTTCAAGGTGAGAAATGATGAAGCTCAACAGAAAACAGACAGCTGTAGCCAAACTGACCCAAGGTCCACCCAGATCTGTTTGCACTCCAGGTCCGGCTCCAGACCCGCTTCAGCGTTTCCTCCAAAGTAGGTGACATACAGTCGATCAATGGAAATACCAAACTCCTGCGTCAGCAGCTCCAGAGCCATCTTACAGGCCAGATGCTGCAGAGGAGAACAAACACAAATGCACTGTGACTACTGCAGATACAGTTTCAAACCTTTTCATAAAGTTCTACATTTTTCTCAACATCTCCACTGCAGTTCCTCAGACAGAGTAAGTAGCTATAACATAATAATTATTATCTCATACAATCCTTTATTGCGGTTCTAACGTGACACAAAGAAAAAGGACAAATAAAAACCTTAAAGTAGTCCCCAAAGGACCAGGAGCCGAGCATCTCGAAGAAGGTGTGATGGTAAACGTCTTTCCCCACGTCGTCCAGGTCGTTGTGTTTACCTCCTGCGCGGATGCATTTCTGCGTGTTGGCTGCACGCCTCAGCTTGGCCATGGGGTGGGACGGGTCGATGGTGTTCAGAAAGATGGGCTTGAACTAAGAGGAGGAAGAGGAACAGACGTTCCTGAGACCTTGGAAGCTGGATGACGCAGATCAGAGTGTGGAGGGAAACCGCATACCTGGTTCATGCCAGCGTTGGCGAACAGCAGCGTGGGGTCATCCAGTGGGACGGTGGATGAGGAGTGGACATACTGGTGCTCGTTGCGGATGAAAAAGTCGACGAACTTCTGACGGATCTGAGCTGCGCTCAAAGACGAGTCCATCCTGAATCAGCCGACTGCACAAAAACAGACTCAATCCAGCAGCTTTAAACAGGAAGCTGCAGTTGATTTTAAAACGCTTCTTCTCTGCTGCAACGCTGTTGGTTTCTATCAAATTGGATATTTAGAGTCAACGGGACATCAGAGACAGGTTAAAGGTCAGTGAATGAAGTGAAAAATGCTGAATCCACTCCTCTCTTATTGTTTGTCTGATCGTGTCTTTACAAAGAGTTTTTTTTTTTTACATCAACTAACAGCGGCTCAGTATCATGAAAGATGGTAAAAATCTAGAAGTGCAGGTAACAGCACCCTTCGCTGGGTCTGAAAACTACACCCAGAAGAACCCTCTCAGTCCAGGAAGACGTCGTGTCTGTCCTACCACCAACAAACTGAGTCTTTGGTGACAAAATTATATATATAGATTCAGTTTTTCCTCCTAAAAAGGTCCAGTCTTAAAGACAATGCTTTAATTAAACGCATTTAATGAAGGATGTTTAAGGTGAATTTTCCAGAGTGTGACCCCATTAAAAGCAGGAAAGCTCACAGGAAGTCATCTCAGGTCTACAGACCGGTCCAGGTCCTAGGTTAGTGATGGGAGGAAGTTTCAGCCCCCTTGTGGTCTTTAAAGAACAAAAACCTGCAGCTTTAGGGTGTTACATTAATAAACCTGATGATGTGATGTCCCGACTCTCCTCCAAAGCTCACATTCATTTCTCAACACGTTGGAGGACATGAGCTTCGCACCAACTTCAGGTTTATTCATTTATAACCACAAAAGACAGGGTTAGTGTTAGGCGGCCTTAACATGCACAAATAAAACACATCCAGTACGATCACATACTGTAATAAATACCGGACACGTTCATTCAGATCCAACGTGGTGTCAAAGACTTAAAATTACAAAAACAGTCTTCTGCTGCTGAAAACTGATGACACATAAAAGGGTGAGTTAACATAGGTGGAAAGCTGTTAACCCGCCTTCGGGGCACTTTCTGGATTCTTGTCACCACGTTAACCTGCTTTAAAGAAGCCGGCGGGCAGACGCAAGCTTGAACGTGACGTTAGCAGGCTAACAAGTTAGCCGGTTATGCTAACTCTATTTCAGGCTAGCTGGATGAATTCAAGGCACAGCGGACAGATAAGCCGGACAGATAAACGGATCGTTGCGTATGTTCGTTCCGGCAGCTTGTTGGCAGACGATAATACTCACTGAAGTCGTTGTTACCACAGAATGAATCAGCTTCAGCTCCTCGTTTCGCCGCTTCGATCTACGCTGATCCGCCGAAAGGAAGGAAAGACACGCCCATGAAAGCTTCTCATTGGTCCAAACACACCAATGCGTCAAAAACGTACGTTCCCATTGGACAACACTACTGACAATCTTGGCCGAACCCACCGCAGCCTTTCACAGCCTCGGCTGATGCAACGACACAAGCAGCAGGTGTCCATTTTTATTCTTGTTTTTCTGATGTGCCATAATTGTTTGTTTCACTAACAGCATTGAAAACTTAAAAACGATGTTCACAAATGTATTCATGACTCAAAAAGTCCCGGTTAAACAGAATAATAAAGCTGCTGTGCGCATTGTATGGAACTTTGAAGGTGCCATTGTTTAGATTTTTATTACTGTTGCTACTGTACTGATTTATACACAAGAATACAAACATCAGAACTTTAGAGGCTATTTAACCCGCTTATAAACTTTTTTCCCTACATTAATACGAACATAATCATTTACACGTTATAATTATTTCTACACATTTACAGCAAACAATGATGGAAGCCTATTTGTATAAAAGTTTATTTTTGGTTGTTTGTGAGAAAACTGAAAGGCAAATGTCTTAATATTTTTTATTCATTTTCACTATTTAAAGACCTTGTGTTGCACATCTGTATGCTGATGTGATTTAATTTTTTTAAAATGCACCATGAGGTGTTTTATTTATCTGGAAAAAGAAGCATGTTGTGGCAAAACAACAAAGTTTCCCCGGTCCTTCTGCTGACCTAGTAGTGTTAATCATCTTTACTGTTAATAAATTACTAACTGTATAATCTATATGAGCTACTGAGCGTGTTTAAATTAACCTCTTACAAACTGTGTTTTATTATAGGTTTGAATAAAGTTGTCTTTATAGCTCTTCCTTCTTCCCGATGCTTTATCACAGGCTCCATTATACTTTACTACAGTTTATGGCACTTTACTATTTTATGGACCAGAGTGGAAGGAGAAACAAGTAGCTAAAAATAAATAGTTTGTTTGTATATAATATTTTATTTCCCACTGAGTTCATGGTTTATTAGCAGGACTAAAGTGAGGAACAGCGAAAAGAAGAAAACAGGAAACATTCAGGATAATCACAAGTTGGGTGCAGGATAGCATGAAATTAACAAAGTTTAAAATAACTTGATGAAAGCAAAACAGAACTCAGATCACACTAATGTTTCATTTAATTTAATAAAAACTATTTGTTTTTGTAAATCACTGCTGTTGTAGCTTCATTTTACACTTAAATCACAATAGAAATGGTTTGATTAGGATCAACAGACTTTTGGACGTGGCCTCCATCAGATGCAGATGTTTCTGTATCCTTAAAGCTCCCATGAGCTTGATTTTAAAAATAGCATTTATTTTAGTTTATTTATTTACAGTATAAGTATTGTAACAAAAATATATTTATAATAATCACTCAGGAAGTGAAGTTTGAACAGATTTTACAGCTGAATCTCAAGAAATTTAAAAATCCTGAAAAAGTTTTATATTTTCTGTCATTCATTTCGTAAAGTAAAACTCATAAATTATATAGATTCATTACACAGAGTGAAATATTTCAGCCTTTATTTCTTATTATTTGGACGAGTATAACTTACAGATAATGATAAACAAAAGAAAATTAGAATATTGTGAAGAGGTTCAATATTGTAAACTCGTGGGGTCACAGCCTAATCAGCTAATTAACTTCTAGACATGAGCTACAAATATCTCAGACATCAAGTCAAGCCACTCCTGAACCAGAGACAGTAAGAAGTGTCTTACCTGCTGAGGAGACAAAGAGCTGGACTGTTGCTCAGTGGTCCAATGTCCTCTTTTCACACAAAAGTAAATTTTCATGTCATTTGTAAATCAAGGTCCGAGGGTCTGGAAGAAGAGTGGAGAGGCCCAGAATCCACGTGACGGTTTGGGTCCATGTCCTCTTCTGGTGCTGGTCCAGTGGGTTTTCTAAAGTCAGCCAGTCTACCAGGAGATTTTAGAGAACTTCATGCTTCCTTTTGCTGATGAGCTTTATGAAGATGTTGATTTCATTTTACAGCTGGACTTGGCACTGGCCCGCACTGCCAAAGGTTTCAGAAGCTGGCTGTGGAATATTCTCATTTTCTGAGACACTGAGTTTTGGTTTTTCATTATTGGTAACCCATATTCATTAAAATGACAAGAAATAAAGTCTTGAAATATTCCACTCTGAGCGTAATGAATCTGTAAAGTATGAGGTTCACTTTCTGAAGTGAGTGATAAATTTTATTTTGACTTTTTCACAATATTTACATTTTTTGAGAATCTTCTGTAGATTCCACTTGCAAGGAGTGAAGCTCACTTTTTACATCCTTATTATATGGCACACCAGTGGCAATTTTAGCCTCTTTTTGGGAGTGCTAAAGCACCCCTAAAATTTAATTCAGCACCCTAAAAAAATTAAGAAACCAACATTAAGATTTTGTAAGGAAACTCAGTTCTCAAAACCTTAGATTCACCAAAATATTGAATAAATTTGGAATAAATGTGGAATGTGCCAGGCACACTAACAGATAGGAACATTATTTATCTTAGAAAGCCAGCAGATTGTGTTTAATCTAAGTCAAATGAAAAGTTACTAGTAAGGTACAGAGCCGACAAACCTTGTCTTTTGATTGGTTCAATTTCTTACTTAGAAAAATTGTGTACAAAACAAAAAAAAAGTCACTTGGAAGGCTCCACACAGTTTGATCTAATTAAATAATTATATATCCTGTCTTCTAACTATTAATTATTTCTTTATTTGTTTCTGTTGTTCTCTTTATATTTTATATTTGAAGGCGTTTAAACAAAGACATGATGATGCAATATTACAGAACACCATAACGTTCTGGGTGTAAAGACAGGCGGAACTCTCTTTCCTTGTTGTAGTTCTGTGGGGACCTGTTTCTGGGACGGATCCCTTCAGCGAATCATCATGCCGACTGATACGAAGCGTGTTCGCGGTCCTGAAACTTCTCAGAGCCCGGTTCTGTTCGGATGCAAACCCGCAGCAGATCTGCCCTCGCACGGCCCGCGAGTGGATGGGCGGCAGCGGGACCAGGTGGACATCCGGCCGGTGTTTGTGCGCTGCGGCCCGGTCAGCCAAGCTAACGGCTCAGCGTACATCGAGGCCGGAAACACCAAGCTAATGTGCTGCGTTTATGGACCGCGGGAAACCGGGCGTAAAGATGAGACCGATATGAAATGTGGAAGGTTTGTCTTAATTTGTTTTAACCTTTATGAATTGGTTCAGTTAAATCATGTAAAACCTGAACAGAATGGTTTAGTGTGAGTACTGTTGCAATTATTATGTTATACAGTAAATAAAAACATGTTTATACGTTATTGTCACAAAAACATGAACACAACTGAAAACTGCATTCTTTAATAAAAATGTTTAGCGATTTTATTAAGTAAAAAAGGCTTAATTTAACTGCTGAATGCTATGTTTTTTTCTCTAAACAAATATCGGTAGTTTTTATTTTTTTACATGTTGGATTCATGAAACCATCTGTTTTGAACTGTTTTACCTGAGAGGAGAGTCATCTACTGTGTTCAGCTGCTGCATTTCTTCTCGTTTCTTTGGACCAGAACCAGACTGAAGTTCCAGGATCGTCTATGATCAATCACTGAATCTCACCTCCATCCAACCATCTTCAGCTCATGACAGTTTTTCTGTGAAGCTCTCTTCGGCTTGTCTTTAGCGCCTAAAGATGAACTCTTACTTCTAACCAGCAGGTTCTTCTTTGTTGAAACATTTCAAGGAGCTGCAAGAAACTCAGTCTTATAAACTTAAAGCTGCAGCTCCTCAGACTGAAGAAGTCTTTTGGATAAAAGTCATCAAAGAAGGATCTGTCCAGAGGACCTGACTCAACCTGGTTACAATCAGGACGTGACCTCTTATTGTTCCTTCGTTCATTCAGACTCCTGATTCCGTCCTGCTGCAGGTTTTTGTTCTATTTCTGATTTAAAATTAGGCATTTTAGAACCTTTTTATTAAAAGTGAGTTTAGCTGACGGCTCGTTTCCTGTCCAGCTCGTTAACTTTTGTCCTTCAGATGGAAAATCATTTTCAGACGAACCTGTCTGGACTATTTCAAAGATTGCATCATGTTCCCTCATGAGACGATTCTGTAGAAAATAATCCGTCATGATTCCACTCTGCAGCAGGGATTGGTGTCTGAGTTGATGTCACCTGTGTGTGTGCGCAGGTTGACCACCGACATGCGCTTGGCTCCGTTCTCCTGCCCGGTGAGGGGCTCGTGGATCCAGGGGACCCAGGACAAGGACCTGTCTCTGATGCTGTACGAGAGCCTGCAGCCGGCCGTGTGCCTCCACAAGTACCCGCGCTCTCAGATCGAGGTCAGCGTGATGGTTCTGGAGAGCAGCGGCTCGGTTCTGGCCCACGCCATCACATGCGCGTCTTTGGCGCTGGCGGACGCGGGTATCGAGATGTACGATCTGGTTCTGGGTTGCTCCCTCCATCAGGACGGCGACTCGTACGTGGTGGACCCCACGTCCGAGGAGGAGAGCAGCTGGAGCGCCGGCGGCGGTCTGACGCTGGCCTTCCTGCCCAGCCTGAACCAGGTGTCGGGGCTGCAGTCGAACGGGGACATGACCCTGGAGACTCTGACCGCCGGGGTCCGGACCTGCATCGAGGGATGTTACAAACTGTACCCGGTTGTCCAGCAGGCCCTGACCCGAGCTGTACGCCGGGCGGCTCCACCGCCGTCAGAGAGCTGAGACCCAACAGGTTCTGTTCTGGTTTTAGCTCGTTTGGGTTTCTCTGTGAACCAAGTTTGTTTTCTGAGAATAGACAAAAACCTTTATATAAAATTAATAAAATTGTTTATTTCGTGTCAACACTCATTTCTCCAAGTCTTAATTCATGATCTCCAACGGCGCTGCTGGTAAAAACACTCGTTTTAAAAATAAAATAATAATGCGTCTCATTTTTCTTAACGTTAGAGATGAGAGCACTCCCAGAAACACGTTAATATTTCATAAATTACAAGTCGTGAAGAAACTTTTAGCTTCTATTCAAAGAAAATGACCACTGGAGGTCACTCGGGTCAAATCATTTACTAAACTTCATCTGAAAACAGGTCGTAGATGTTTTTAGTTCTAGAACTGAACAAATATGTTTTTAATTTTATGTATTCATGTTCTCAAAGCATCAAATCTCATAAAGGATTATAATCTTTAAACCTTTCTGTGTAAAACTTGTAAATTTATTAAAAGTTCAGTAAAACTGAAGGTTGTTCTTAAAATTAAAAAACATGCATTTCTAAGAACTCAGTTTATAATCAAATAATTTACTTAAGTTTAAATAAAAACAACACTCGGTTTAGAATCGCTCGTTTTAAGTGTTGATTTTAAATGAACTAAATGTTTTTTTCTGTCAGAGCAACATTCTTCTTACTTGGATCAATATTGTAAGTATTTGTAATAAATTGCAGTTTTTAACTCCGTCTTCTCTTCAAACATGTTAAATATTATTAGTTTTGTTATGTTTAGTCGTGCACATGCGCCTTTATTTGAAACACTTAAGAATATTTAAAGAACTTGATGAATTTTTCCTTTAAAGTGAAACTGGGGCTCGTTTCTCCAGGTTTTATTTCTTTCTCTTTATTTAGTGACATATTTTCTTCTGTTTTAAAGAGCTGCTCATTTTTACGCCTCCTGATGAACATCACAGTAACACGTCCTTATTCACATGAACTCAACTTTCTGTTCACATTTGCTCCTAAAACTCACTAAATATTAAAATAAAATATGTTAACATTTCAGGAAAGACTTTCTAATGTTACGATTCTTTTCTGTTTTGGATCAAAGTTTTCTCATTAAAAAGAACAAAATGTATATTTCTCATCTTTAGAAGGTCTGGAACCATCTGGAGCTCTTTCAGTGGACATGAGAACTGATGACATGGTCCACGTGGATCTAACCTGGAGGGGACATGGTACCAGGGTGCATGATGGGAACAACGTGACAGTGGGGGCAGTGTGATGCTTCGGACAAGACCATAAACTCAGAGCCATCACAGACACCTTCAGAGGTCCACAAGAAACCTTCAGAGGGCTGCGGGAAACTAGCAGAGATCCCCTGGGGGTTTCAAGAGACCTTGGGAGTTCTGCTGGTGGTCTGCAGGAGACTTGGGAGGACTGAAACCTTCAAAGGTCCTTTGTACTCAGAGGTCCATGAAGATGTGTCATGTCTGATTGGCAGCAAATAAAAAAGGATCTGCTCATCGTTGGGACAAGTGGTCATAATATTATGGCTCACTGAAGTGGATGAGTCCAGTTTTTTAAAAGTCTAAAGTAGTAACTTTGTTTGTCACACTCACATGAATCTGATTTAAACACCAAAGAAATAAATACATCTTTATTCCTCTGTTGACAACTTGAACAACAAAACATTTGAGACCGGACCAACATGCAGCATCTTTTTAGCTCGGTGTTAAGACAAACAGCCGACGACGAAGCAGGAATCAAACAGGAAAGTCTCTGCAGCTAAATCGACCACGACTCTTCTGTGCTCCTCGGCTGTCAATCACTGTTCCTTCAGCCAATCACAGCAGCAGGCGCTGCGGCTGGGGGCGGGAGGAAGCCGACGGGGATTGGACGCTCGGCTTAAACTGTGAGATGTGATTGAGGGAAGGTTTGAGAGCCACATCGTAAACACAACAAACAGATAAACAGACGAGGTTCATATCAGAGCTTTGATGATTCAGCTGAGATTAAAACAGCTTCTGAAAGCTGAAACCTGCTGTGTGTGTGTGTGTGTGTGTGTGTGAGTGTGTGTGTGTGTGTGTGTGTGTGTGTGTCGGTACGCCCGGCTGTGCCGCGGGCACGGCATCATGACTGCGTCCACGATACCTTCACTGTCTGAGCTGCTGTCAGAGTCGCTGCTGCCAGAATAGGCGCAGAGTCCTGGGAAAACGCCGACGCACACGGCCGCAGACGGCAGGTGCAGCACGCCGTGGGCGGAGCCCGGGGAAGCCGCCGGCGTCTTCGCCGTCAGGCCAGGAAGTGCTCGATGATCCTCAGGCGCACCTGTTCCTCCTCCTGCTGCTCCGCCCTCCTGCTCTGAACGACACAACTTCCTGTTAGAGACGCCAGCAGCTTCTTGCTCAAGTTTACTCCTGAAGGAAAACTTTTACATCTAAACCCACAGGAAACACTTGTACAGGTGCTGGTCATAAAATTAGAATATCATGAAAACATTTATTTCAGTAATTCAACTGAAAAAGTGAAACTTGTATATTATATTCATTCATTACATACAGACTGATATATTTCAAATGTTTGTTTATTTTAATGTTGACGATTACAACAGACAACTGTTACCATGGAGACTGATCCAGTGAACTTAGCCTGTTTCGGACCAGTCAGGTTCAGGCAATCCTGGAGTTGATAACTTAAAACATTTCATCTGAATTTCTATAGTTCTGTTTAGATTTCAGTTTTATTAACGATCTCGTCCTAAAGTATCATAATTCTGTCCACGGATTAAAATATAATAGGGGTGCATTGATAAATCGGCCCGCCGATTTATCGGTCCCGATTTCCTTAATTTGGGAAAATCGGAAATTGGTTGATACTTACACGAGAAACCGATTTTACCGATTTTTTTGTTTGTTTTAACAACAATTGTGTGAAATTCATTTATATTTCAGAGCACTACCTCATGGCCAGTTAAAACAAGTTTGTATTGTTTCTAGGATAATGTTCAAGGGTCTGTTTTTCAACAAAATAAGATTTAAAATTGAAGGTGCGTTGTGACCTTAGAACACCTGACAGTGTCGATTATAAAACAAAATCGGTATCGGCAGGTCAGACTTTTTAGAAATCGTGATCGGACAGAAAACTGCAATCGGTGCACCCTTATGATAATTAATTAATAATTAATGATCATTAATTAATAATTAATGATCATCATCATTTTTATGATGAAACCTCAAACAGGTTTGACTTTTGATTATTTCATAAAAACTAACCCCAAACGGCAGTCAGTGGAAACCCACATCGTAACCTCATCAACACAAGCCCCCCCACAGACCAAACCCCCACAGACCAAACCCCCACAGACCAAACTCCCACAAACCAACCCCCCACAGACCAAACCCCAACAAACCAAACCCCCACAGACCAAACCCCAACAAACCAAACCCCCACAGACCAAACCCCCACAGACCAAACCCCAAC